GGATCTTTAGTGGCTATCATGTTCCTGCTCTTTGGACCATCCATCCTCAACTGACCAGTCTCTTTCATGAGCAAAAGTCTTGAGGTCAACAAACTTTAGATGGTCATTACTCAAAAATAGAAATAATGAGTTAGAGCCTGGTTACAATCAAACATACCTAAAACTAGCTAGGGAAATGTTTTGCTCCTCCCACCAAAGATATGTAATTCTAACAGGAAGTATTTCCAAATCTTCTTGACAATTGTGCCTCAACAGCCCTCAATAATGAGGAACAGAGCTGCTCACAGTGGCACATGGCTGTAAGTACTCTATGAAGCTAACGCAGGAGGATTGCAAGTTCAAGCCCAGCACAGGTAAATTGCTGAACACCTCCTTGTCCTATCAGCTTTGTTTGCTTTCAAATGCCACTTGCCTGTGAAAGTTAAAAAAAAAATATATATATATATATAATATATATATACACACACACAAATTTTGTAGCAAGGAGATACTGTGAATCAGTTCCAAGATTCTAGGTAAAAGTCCTGTTTCTACAGAGCACTCCATTAACCAAATGTCCCTGTCTCACAAAGAGGAATTGACTTAGATGGAAGGGGAAGTTTCTGGGTTGCACCTTAGCCTGCTCCATGTCGAATCCATGGACTTACCCAAAGCCATTGGTTCTCTACCATAAGGGTTACTTGGAGGCAGCCAGTGTCAGGATAGGAAAACAGAAGGGATAGCTCTCCAGGGCAAGAGGATTTGACAGCTGCTGGGAGATTACCCAAGGGACTGCCTGTCAAGGTCAGCTAACCACAGGTAGAGCCTCTACTCTCAGCTGAATCACCAAGTCTGTTACCATGTAAAAGCATGGTCTGGTCACCACACAAGCCAATTAATTGAAAGCCAAAGAGATGATAGAGAAAGAAAGTTAGTATGGTGAGCTAGCTGATCACAATGGAGGACCAGCCAAATGGACCATCTTGATGAAAGGTGATTTAGGAGCAGTTTATATAGGCTGGCAATGAATAATGGTGGACTAGTGCACATCTTCTCATAGGTGAAGGTTCTGGCCAGGTTATACACACCTGATCTTAATCACCTAGTCACACTGTTTTTCAGTTCTGCCAATCTCAAGAAAAACTGATTATTTTTTGTCCAAAATTATCATTTCCTCATGTTATTCCTGTTGCTGGTTAGTTTGCCTATGTGCAGTTCCTTACATTCTGCAATAGATATCCTACAGGGGATAGCTGTGCAGAGAAGACCGACAAAGATCAGATGAAGTTATATATGGAGGTGGTCATGTTAAGGGAAAAAGAGACAGATCTTGGTCTTATTGCTCAGTTTCAGGATGTCACTTCTTTTTTTTTTTTTTAAACTTCAGTGCTCCCTCAGGAGCATTTTAATGCCTCCTATCCCCGTGCGCCCTTGGTGTTGGTCCCTAGCTTCAGGGTGCTGCAGAAAGAAGGACTGAAAGGAAGGACCTCTGCTCTCCTGTCTGCTTCGAGGGCCTCAGCCTTGGACCAGTGTGTATGCAGTTTCCGTGGACTCTTGCGCTTTCTTAGCCCTCCCAGAACCCCTCTGCCGGGTCTGTTGTGGTAAAGAGTGCTTCGCCCTCCTTTCCTTTCTCTCTGCCTATTGTTGCTTCAATGATGAGTCATGCAGGAGGTAGTAGTGTGTTAAGGGCGCGCTTGTGCGTTCCCCCGGCACAGGCGCGCCTACAGCTCGTGTAAGGATGTCACTTCTATAATTAGGTTACAGCAGATTGCCACTCCATCTACTTAGAACTTTGAAGAAGCAAGCTCCTGTGTCACAAAGCCTGCCTAGTAAATGTCTGAGGGTGACCTTTAACCAATAACCAGTGAAAAACAATCCTGTTAACAGCTCCATGAGTGTGCTTGGAAGCAGATCTTTCCTCTGTGGAGGCTTCAGATGAGTGTGGTCCAGCCACCGTAAGGATAGCAGTCTGTGAGGGCCCCCCTATGGAGGACAAAGCTAAACTGTGTCTGATTCCTGATCCAACAGTAGATAACCCACACAGGTGGTTATAAAACTTCAAGTTAATGACCTAGTAGGTATTCTTTGGTATTTGGCTTCTTTCTCTCAGCATCATGTGTATGTCCTTACCTGCGTTAATACTTCATTTTGTTTACTGCCAAATAGTCTTTCAAGGGCATAGTGCCTTGCTCATGTTCATGTCCTAATTCTTGGCACCTCTAATATGTTACTTGGCAAGGAGAAACCAAGATTGCAGGTGGCCTTGAGGTTTCTAATCGGCTGACCTTGAAGGTCAAGATTGTGGGCCTCCTGTAATCTCAGGCCTGAGTCCTTATAAATAGAGGGAGGAGACTGGTAAGAGAAATAATAATGATGTAACATGAGAAATGTTCATCTGATGGATGCTGGCTGGAAGATGATAGGGGCCAGGGAATCTCTTGGCCTCTAGAAGCCAGAAAAAGCAAGAAATGCATTTTAGGCTGGAAGGATAGCTCAGTGATAGAGTATATGCTTAGCATACATGAAGCCCTGAGTTTGATCCTCAGCACCTACAAAAAAAGTATATCAAGCACAACAGTAAAACAAAACAAAACAAAATGCATTTAACCCTAAACAAAAGAATAAAAGAAATACGTTCTCCCCTAGAGCCTCCAGGATAGAACACAGTCCTGCCAACACTTTAATTTTAACCCAGTGAAACTTATTTCATAATTCTGACCTGCAGAACTATAAGAGAATAACTAAATGTTGTTTTAAGCTACTTAGTTTGTAGCAGTTTGTTACAGCAACAACCAAAACCTAGTGGTACAGATAGAATACATTTTGCTTGTCCACCCACTTGCTGCTGGATATGTGGGTTGTGTCCAGTTTTTAGCTATTTTGAATAATGCGTAGTGAGCACTCCTGTGATTGTGTGTGTATACTATTTCTAACACAGTCACACTTTTTTCCAATGTTTGAGGATTTTTGTATCTATGTTGATGAGAGAGATTTTTATGTACTTTTTCTTTCCTAATGTTTTTGCTTAGTTTTGGTATTGGGGTCATGCTGGCCTCATAGAATGAGTTAGGAAGTATTCCTTCTGCTATCTTCTGAAAAAAGAGAATTATTGAGAATTGACATAATTTCTTCCTTACATATTTTGTATAACTCACTAGTAAACCCATCTGGGCCTGGGAATTTCCTTTGTGGAACGTTATTAATTATTGTTTCAATTTCTTTAATAGATATAGGGCTATTTGAGTTGTCTATTTGTTTTATACTTTTCAAACATTGTATTTTGATGGTTTTCTGAGAAGAGGTGATTGAGTTCATGGGAGTTAAATGCACATGGGTTGCGACTCCTCTGAAAACCAAATATTAGTGCTCTGAGAGATGGCACAGCTGCCTGAAACCAGCTCCTGGATATCACATCCAGCATTCTACTGTGAGGTACGTGGGCCTGTGTGTACATGCATGCATGTGTGCATGATGGGGGAGAGATCTGCCTTCTCAACAGGTTCTCTGGGAATCTAGCAAGTTTCCTTTCTCTCTCAAGCTCTTTTTCTCTGTGTCTCTGACACCTCCCAGTTTTCCAGGGAACACCTTACCTGAGAGCTGGTATTTTCACATCCTGTTGGAAACTCCCAATCATCCTGAACCAATAGGACATAGGTTCTCAGAAACATGGCTCCCCCATGGAACATTGAAACCTCCATTGGTTCCCAACTCAGGGCTTCTGCACTTGCTATTCCCTCTGGCCGCAGCCCTCTTCCCCAGATCTTGGAATGACTGACTACTTTTCTATCCCTCAGGATGTTCCTGGACCACGACTTTTTCTTTTGGAAGCCTTCCTGACCTCTCTCATCTGCTGTCACCCTCCACTGCAGCCTCCTTTCTCATGTCACTCACTTTATCTTCTTTCTGAAACATATCAGTATCTCCAAATCATCTATGGGCCTGCTAGATCTATCGGCTGACATCTTATGTAAGCCCCATGGGGCAGGGCCTGTCTGGGCTAGGGCAGAGAGTGGCACCTTGCCTTACCTGTGCAGGAATTAGACCCAGATCTGACCCAGAAAAGATGCTCAGTATTTGAGGAGGTGAAGGCTACTTGCTTGGGCAAGCCTCACCTAGAGCCCAGCTTGCCTCTGCCCTGCCCAGTCCACCTGGTCCATGGAGTGGCTGCCTCTGGAGGAAGACTGGGATGGCTGGTGGCCACACCCAGCAGGAGGGATCCTAAGAGCCTCCTGGGAGCTCCAGGTGAGAGCTGGATACTACCTGCCTTCACTTGCTGCCCTCTGACTGGTCCTGGGGGCTGGGGTTTCCCCCAGAGCCCTAGCCCCTTGCCATGGACAAGCCTCCTTCCTCCATAATGCCCTTCTGCCATCTGTGACAGAGTTCCAGGTTTGTTCCTTATAGACCCCTGTCCAGCTCAACCTAGAACCACCTGTGAGATAGCACCGACTCACTGTGCCACGTCCCCCAGCTATGGCTGTGCCTCCTCTTATCCTCATTATCCTGCCAGCCCAGCAACAGTACGACACCCTTCACAACAATCCTAAGGGAACAGGATGGGAGGCTTGGCCTGTCCCAGTGTTGGGTGTGGACAGCTGACACTTCTCAGTGACCTGTGACTGCCCCATCCAGCCTCTAGCCCTGTCCAAGCTGACTACCTGAGTGCCCTTGGGACACAGCACATGGGCATTACCAAGGTCTAGGGGAAGGTCTGGGGCCAGGGTTCCCTCCAACGTACTGAGCAGGGCCTGTGAGATACCCAAGGAGCCTGGCATCAGCAGCAGAAGGCACCTGGATTGGGAGATCTTTTTGATGCCTCCCTATTGCCACAAACTGCTCCAGAATGGGGATCAATCAACCCATGTGGCTCCACTCTCCAACTCCTAGGTGGGCTCCAGGGCCCTGCTCTTGCCTCAGCCTTGCCAAGAGGACATGCCCTCTTCTAGGGCCAGGCCTGCAAGCAGTAGAGAAGGTTCCCAGGACAACAGTCAGGGAGGGGACCCATCCTGCTGCCTGCAACCTACATGCGGATCTGTGTGTTTTTCAGGATGAGTTTCAGCTCATCCAAGGTTTCTTCCATCTCCTGCATGTTCTGGATCAGTGACAGGTTTTGCTCTTCCAGCTCTGTGAAGACATCCAGGAGCTTCTGGGGCTCCGTGAAGTACAGTGGCAGCTCCTGTGAGAAGGCCGTGTGGGCAAGGGCCTGGGCTGGGGAGGTGGTGGGGTAAGGGGAGGAGGGATAGGCAGAACTGGGCCACTGACCTCTCCTTCACTGTCAGTGTCCTCCTGAGACTGGAGGGATGGGAGGGTAGAGCTTGACCTGCAAAGAGTTGGGGTCAGGGCTCCCTGGACCAGCCAGGGTGGCCCGAAGTAAGCAGCAGGCACAGAGACCTGTAGACATGGATGGAACATCTCCCTAATCCTTGTCCTCCCCACCAGTTTCCAGACATAGCACCAACCTGAATGGCTCCGCAGATGTCACACAGCAGACAGGGGACACTTTCAAGCTGCAATCAACAACTCTTACTCCTTACTGCACCCTAGAAGTCACTATGTCCCTGCCCTGTGAGCTTCTTCCCCTCTCTCTAGGTGTTGGCCCTACCTCAAGGCCTTTGCATCTGCATGAGTTGCCTCTCTCTCTGACCATTTGTTTTCTGAGAGCCACTTCTGAGGCCTTTCTTACCCCATCGTGGTCTTGGCACCTGCCCTTGACATTCCCACTTACAGTCATCATAGAACACACGAGACCACCTCCAGATGACCCTGAGCAGCACCTCACAGTGCCTCTCCTGGGCTAGGGTAGAGGGGCACAGTAAAGGTTGTGTGGGCTTTAATACTGACTGTGAGGCCCTAGACAGCTCCTTGGAAGGGTCCCCACCTCCACATATTTGCAAATCCTCCCTCATTTCCCCCAGCCTGGGACTTGGCCCAGGATGTGCAGGTCATTCTGGCTGAGGAATGGTCTGGGCTGGCTCCCTGCCAGGCTCTGAGCCACTTGAAGTGGAGGGGCATCAGTACAGGGCTTGGTAGGAGCCCCAAGAGGGCACCAAGGAGGGCTTCCCAGAAGAGAAACCATGACAAGAGCCTGGGCCTCCCATTGTACACACACTGATGCCCATTTTATAAGACAGGAATTTGAAGTATATCTCAGAAAGCCAGCTACCTGCTCAAGGCCACTGCTGGGGTACTGCTGACCTGGAAGATGCCTTTCTGAGAATTCACCTTCCAGAGGGATGTACCCTGAGCCAGGGCCCTGGTCTGGTGACTGGGAGTGGGCTAGACCAGTTATGAGCCTTGTGCAGCTCACAGCTTGCCCAAATGTATTCATTGTCCCTGGTCACTGGTTAATGGATGGAGCAGCCAGGATTCAAAGCCAGAACAATGTGATCCAGACCTGTCTTCTCAGTGACTCTCCCAACATAGAGCTTCAGAGCTGAGGGACAACCTAGGCAAAGGAAGCAGCATGGCATATCTAATCTCTTAGAACCTCTGTTCCCAAATACTGAAATAATTGTTCCCCAGCTGGGTCACAGGGGCGACAGTTCACATGCAGCACATGCCTGGCCCAGCCTCAGTGTTACCAGTGGTGGTCACCAACCTGCCTATGGTGTGGCATTCAGAGGCAGGTGGAGACAAAACCACAGGAAGGGGTCCAGGCAGTCACAGGCCAGGGAGGACAAGGAACAGGACATAGCAGGAATAAGCAGATATTCAGGCTTAGAGGTGGAGGGAGGGAGAGGAAGGGGAGGATGGGGAGGTCTATGGACCCACACCCACTTCTCCCCATCTGCACACCACTGCCTTCATCCAAGTGCATACATTGCAAAGCTTCCTAAGAAAACACAGCCAAGTATTTTAGTGACTTTTGGGTTGGTAAAGATTTCTTAAGCAAGGTGCAAAATGCACCAGTCTGAAGTTAAAAGAGTAAATTTACATTATTAAAATTAAGAATTCCTGTTCCTCAAAAGACAGCATTAGAAGAGTAGTAAGACAAGTCATAGACTGAGAGGAAATATTTGTCCTACATTTAATACAAAGGGCTACCACTTCACATATACAAGGAACTAACAGAGAACCATTAGAAAAAGACCAGTAATCTAATAAAAATGTACAGAAAATGGACACTTCACAAACAAAGATATATGAAAAGCCAATAAATATGAAATCTGTTCGTATTTATCATCAGATGAATGTCATTAAAACCATGAGAGAGCTGAGGGTATGGCTCAGTGGTAGAGCACTTGCCTGGCATGCTTGAGGCCCTAGATTCCATCCCCAGTGCCAAGCAGCAAGAAATAAACCATCCAGGATGCCACTTCACCCCTGTAGTACCATGTCTTTTAATTTTTGTATTTTTGATGCTCTGACATCTGGGTCCTTGCTGACTACAGGGGGACTCCTCCCCCAGGTTAGACAATTCCTAGAGATGGTAAATGATTCTGATTTATCCTGGGATATGCTTCTCCATCACAAACCCACCAGCTCTCCAGTGTCCAAGCCCTCCGGCACAGGGTTCTTGTATTAGGGCCACTTGTCTCCTGCCTTGATCTGGTGCCCTCCCCACGGATAGGACCAAACTACCAAGAACAGCACTATGCCTGACATTATTCAATTTGGCCTGTCTTCAGCCTGCTTCCTCACTTCAGCCACTCCTTCCTTGGAAACCACAATAAATATCCCATGCTCCTTGCTCCACCTTCTGACCTCTGACATTTCTCCTGTAACCCTACATGCTGTGCTGGCCCTCCTCTTGGGATTCTAAGGATCTTTTAGCAGCAGTCTTTTCTGGTTGGTTGGCTGTACTATTCCTGGGAACCATCAGGTAGTACTCCCTTCCCCAAGCCCCAGCTCTTTCCCAGGCCCCTGCAAGGCCACTCACCCTTTAGAGTCCAACCGGCTAGGCATGCTGGGCTGACTGGTAGGCTGGACACTGCTGCTGCTGGATGGGACCTGCCCCAGCCTCACTGCCTGAAGAAGCTTCCAGGGCTTCTTCAAGCCCTGAGCCTCTGGAGAAAGCAGGGTAATGGTTCCATGGGCCCTGGTCTGAGTTACAGGGCCCCTTCCAGCCTAGGACAGCCATGTACCTCTGGCCCACAGAGAGACCATCTTGCCCTTGCTCCCTGGTCCTAAAGAAACAAAGAAAGGATCCTAGTTGGCATCAGCTGTAATCTAGCTTCAGGTCTTGGGGCTCAGGCTCATTTGATTGTCCCTGCCTCAGAGGGAGGAAGGTGTTCCAGAGGAAAGTCCCTGGATTTGTTTGAGAAGTGGCCACCTCCCCATGCAAATGCTTGGGATGGGTCCCATGGGAGGTTAAAGGGTGAGCACTGCCCCACATAGAGCCCAGAGTGGCCCTAGTGTAGGCCATGAAAGGTAGAAAAGGCCAGCCTGTGGCCCCTGCCAGCTGGGCACAAAATCTTGGTATATTAGCAAAGCCCACCCTAGGGATCCCCATTCTCTTTTCCACTACCTTTGTCCACTGGTATGGAGGACACACTCCCCTCTTTGGGGGTCTCAGCAAGCTCCTTGGCCTTTTTGAGAGCCAACCGCTTCTTCTCCTGTTCCTCCAGCCACTCCTTGGGAGACAGCTTGTACAGAAAATCCTTATAGATCCTGTATTGCTGTAGAGTGTCTTCCTGTTTGGAGATTTCACTAGGCCCAGGGAGGGAAGGCTGAGGTCAGGCTCCATCTACTGTGAGGCATGGGTGGGCAACCTGTTCTTCGGAGCTCTGAATGCTGGGGAAAGGACTGGAAGTGACCAAAGCTCCCAGAGTTGTGGTTGCAAGTTCCTTTCCACCCAGGAGACTCTGCCTGCAATTCTCAGGCTGAAGCCCAGGGAGCCACTGAGCCAAACTGGTCCTTCATCGACGTGGTGTGGCCTTGGGAAAAATCACTGAATTGCTCTTGGCCTTAGTACCCCCCATCTGAAAATGGGCAGGGATTTGAGTTCCTGAGGTATATAGCAGCAAGGGTTACGTGGTAACCTCCCTTTGGCTATGGGTCAAGTGATGAAGGAAAATGGAGACAGGCCACTAAAGGACAGCATGCCCTCTGCCTTCACCTTTTTATATTCACAATCTGAGTGGTGAGGTCCTGGATCTCCATGATCTTCTCCACCTTGGCTTTGGTATCCTTCTCAGCCCTGAGGGATGGATGGGAACCAGGAGGACAATCACAGATGAGTAAATACCAGCAGTTAACCACTAGCCTCCGGGTCAGGGTTGGAGGCAGGAGCCAGAAGGCTGGCCAGTGGTCAAGCCTGGCCAGGGGTCAGCCTGAGGTCCAGCTAAGGTTGGGTTGGTTCTAGGGCAGGGCAGAATAAATGAGTGTGCACAGGCTAGAGGGCCCCAGGGGATGGTGTGTTTAGGCTGGCCAGCCCCTTGCAAGCTCACAGTCTCATGGCCTGCACTGAGCTGCGATCATTCTCCCTGAGGAACTCATCAAACAAGGCTGCGTCCTTCTCCAGAGACTTCTCAGCCTGCTCCAGCTTGGTCTCCTCCCAGGTTGCCAGCATCTCTAGCCGCCGGATCTCACTGCGTTTCATATCCAGGGAATACTGAGGGGCAGCAGGGCGAGCGGTGGGAGGTCACAGAACCTGGCCTGGGCCAGACACCCCGGCTGGAAGCCCTTGTTCTGGTTCAACTAAGCCTACCTGGATGAGAAACATCTTTCGATTCTGGTCAATGTACTTGCTTATCGAATCAGGTTCCAATTTCTTTTCTGCAATGAGAGGAGGCAGACAAATGGGAATGAGAGGTCCAGGCCGTGCCAAAGGCCAGGCACTCAGAGAACCTACAGGGGGCCCAACAGGCTCCTGGACAGGGCTCTGGCTGCCAGACTGGGAGGCTACAGGGATCACAGGGAATAGGGGTGTTGCTCTCTGCCACCAGCTAAAGGATAGAAGTTTCTCCCCAATACATAGCCAGCCCTCCTTATCTGTGGATCCTGAATCCTTAGATTTAACCAATCACAGATCAAAAACATTTGGAAAAATGTTGCATCTGTTCTAAACATATGTAGACTTTTCCCCCTTGTCACTATGAATAACACAGTATCACTTTTTACACAATAATTATACCTTATTCAGGATTATAGTAACCTAAAGATGATTTAAAGTATACAAGAGATGCACATAGGTGATATACTGTTTTATGTAAGGGACTTGAGTGTTTACAGATTTTGGTCTCCAAGTGTAGATGGGGGGTGTCCTCAGGCCAAGTGCCTGCAGATACCAAGAGATCACTGTATTATAGTCTCCATAGTTGGTGTTAGACTGGTGGGAAATCTTGGTCTGACTCTCCTGTTGCAGTATCCTTTTCATTTGGAATGACGATCTGGACACTCTAGAAATTTCCACTCTAAAATTTTCACCCAGTTGGACTTAATTGCAAAAGGCCTACTAGCAGGACCTGGATGAGGTGGGAGAGAAAAACAGGGTACTCGAATTCTCCAGAGCTCAGTCTGGATAACAGCTTATTCTACACTGACAGGGTGTAAAGCAGACAGAGGAAACAGGTCTCTACCTGAACAACTTGCTAGCAAAGCAGAGGGGCTGCCAAGTGGGGGCCAAGGGCCATGGGGACCTCTATCTTGTGCTTTGGGAGAGGAAGTGTTACGTGCTCCCTAACTTCAGAGTTCCAAGGAGCTACGCTTGACATTGTGTGTCTCTTTGCTCTTGAACCTCAGAATCCCTTTTCTTTCCAGGAGAAGAGCCCTGTGTGGTTGATGCAGTAGCTCTTTTCTGAGTCCCGAGGCCCTGGCTTGGCTTCCTTGAGTGACTTTGGAGAAGTCCCTGTCCGTCAAGGAGACCAAGATCCTCAATGGCAGTTTAGCTCAGTACAGAGAACTCTTGCAGCTCAACCAAGACAGCTTTCTCTGTCTTGCTTTCCCTGCCTCTGCCAGTCTTAGGAACAGAGAGCAGAGGCAGAAAAGTGTGATGCTGCTTCCTGGTGCCAGGTTCAGCACACAAAACTTCCAAGCGAGCTTGGGATTCTCACCAAAGTAATAAGCTGCTAACATCAGAGGTGGAGGTATGGAGCCCTGTCATGTTTTATATTCACATTCAGTACCTGTTATAGTTTGGATCAAAAATGTCCCCCAAAGGCTAATGTGTTCAGAGGTGGGGCTTTGGAAAATGATTAGATTGTGGAGGGCCAACCTCATCAATGGATTAATCCATGTGTGGTTCGGAGGCAGGATCTGGCTGTAGAGAGTAGGTCACTGGGGACATAACCAAGAAGGGTATATCTGCTTTCTGACCCCCCACCCCTCAGCTCTTACTTGGTTGCTTTGCTTTCTGGATGTCATGAGGTAAGCAGTTTTCTTCTGCCATACCCTGCTGCCATGGTCCTCTGTCTTGGATCTAGCCACCCATGGGCTGAAACTTCTGAAATTATGAGTTAAAATAAACCTGTCCTCCTCTATGTTGTTCATGTTGAGTCTGAAGCCACAGCAAAGCAAAGCAAACACACCTGTGATCCCACTGTGTGCCAAGACTCTGCCTCTTTCTAGCTTTGTCCAGCTGCAGCATTGATTAGTTTCATGGTCATGGCCAGTTATTTAGCCCCTTAGCAGCTCAGTTTCACCTCCTGGCTGTTAACAGTAACAACCTTCATGGGTTGTGGGAATTAATTGTTAATACATTGGATGTATTAAAACAGAACATATATACGACAGAGTTATTTTTATTACCAGTCAGAAATCTTAAGTACTGAGTATGTATTAGCATTCTACCCACTCAAATAATTAAAAAATTTTGAGCCAGGTGTGGTGTCACAGGCCTGTAATCCCAGCATTTTGGAACAATGAAGCAGGAGGACCACAAGTTAGAGCCCAGACTGGGCAACTTAGCAAATTAGCAACAAAAATTTAAAAGAGTCTGGAGATGTACCTCAGTATGAAGGCCTTGAGTTCAGTCCTCAGTAACACACACACACACACACACACACACACACACACACACACACACACACACACACACACACACACACAGACTGCCATGCTAGAAAGAAGCAGGAGAAATCAATGAGGAGTCAGTGAGGAATAAGATAAAGCAGTTTAAAGTGCCAAAGCTTTCTTTTGGTTTGGCTTTGAATTTTGTTGGGTTTCTTGGGGTTTGTTTTGCTTTTGTTTTGGTGTTGGTGCTGGGGATAGGACCCAAGACCTCACACATGCCAGGCAAGTGCTGTAGCACCGAGCTACACCCCAGTTCTAAACTGCCTGAACTGCCTGTTTTGTAGATCATGCAGCCTGTATCAGAGGTGTCTATCCACATTCAGAATACACATGCCCCTGTGTCCCACAAACTCCTAGAGCTGCAGTCTGTAGAGATTGAGCCCTGGGAGGTAGCAGATAGGAGTCAGATGAAGATACGTGAAGCCCTCCTATAGGCATATAGTGAATGGCTGGGGGCACAAGGGCCCCCCAGATGCTGTCCCTCAGAGGCATGACTTCCTCAGGTCCCCCACCCCAGGCTGTGGAAGGTGGCACCTTTGGTCATGATCAGCTTCCAGGCCGTGTTGTCACCAAATGTTTGCAGCTGCTTGACCTTGGCCAGCAGCGCCTGGGCATCCATCTCCTCTTGGAGCTGCAGCTCCTGCCGTAGGCTGCTGTTCTTGGCAGACAACTTGGAGGCATATGTCATTTTCTCGTGTACCCGCATCTTCTTCTTCTGCTCTCGCTCCTGAGGACATTGAACTGGGTCAAGTGGGGCCCAGTCTCCTCTCCCCACCCAACATCCCACTGTGCCTGGGCCAGATCTCCACATCGTCCCCTCTGGGACTGCATATGGGCTGAAGGGGCACAAGGACACACAAGAAGTTACACAACACACACACACACACAAACACTTAGAAAGCATGCACACCCAACACCTGTGGAGCTGGATGCCTATGGAAAGGCCCAGCCCTGTGATTCTCACCACAGTGCCCAGGACTGAGAGTGGCATGGGAAGGAAGGCTCACAGGGAGGCCAATCAGCTCTGGAGAACAGGCCACCAGGTGGGGCCACCAGATAAATTACGGATGCCAAGCCAGATGTGCACCCCAGATCAACACAGCCTGGGGCATAATCCTACTGACCGATGATTTTATCTGAGATTTACATTTTTTTTTGGTACCAGGAGTGAGATTCACATTTAACTGAAGACCATGCAGTCTGACATGCTAGATATGACAAATATGCTCAAGGAACTTAGATTTGAGTTTTTAAAAGAACTATGGAATCCTAAATTAATCAGTAGATTCTGTTGTCAGTGTTGGCCAACTGGAAAGTCACTGGTGGTCTGCTGTTTCCACTGATAGTTCCCACTGCCCTACACTTCCAATCTGGACCGTAGGGTGCCTCCATGGCCTAGCCCTCCTTTGGGAGAAGAACCCAGGATGGTGGACGGGTACTGATCACAGCGGATCTCTGGTCAGGGATCTGTGGGTCTGCATGTGCCCTTCAGGGTCCTACCCACACTTAGCATTGACCCTTCACTAAAATCCCTTCACTGGGACTCTCCAAGGTCACTTTATTTCCTGTTGGGATCTGCCAAGTACCACAAACAATTCCACACCTATGAATCCTGGAGGAGTTCAGCAAATGTAAGATCTAAACTGAGGCCACCAGTTGGCATGTCTGTGTGTAATAGCAGAGCTGGGAAAAGGTCACCCTTAGAATCCCAGTGGCAACAGGTCCTTTATAAGGCATTGAGCAGCTCCTTCAGAGCAGGGTGAGGCTGGGGGCTCTGTTGGGTGAGGAGGGGATGAGGTTGGGGGATTTGCTGGGGTAGGGAGTATGTTAAGCTGGGGTCTTTCATGGAGTGGGATAGGCAAGTTCATTTGGAAATGGATGTTTAGTGGAAGGAAGAGGTAAAACCAGGCTTGGAAATCAAAGAACCCAGTCCTGCATTGGAGAATAACAGGATCTCCAAGGTCAAAGCCAGAGAGAATTGCTGTGGTCTGCAGACCATTCTCCAAAGCTGCACAGTGCACCTCCCAGGGCAACACCTCTCTGAGAACCTTGGCATTTAGCATCTTGAAAGGGCTGGGGACACAGTTCTGGAATGTCTGATCCAAGCCCTGCTAGGTGGGACTGCAGAATGTGTCTTCCCACCAGTGCCCAGCTGATAATGGCATGAAGGTCTAGCTGCCCTGGGTACCAATGCCTTACAGAATCCCTGAGTCAGGGGAAGACAGAGGCTGTCTGGGCAGCCCAGGAGAAAGGCCAGGATGTCTGTTGGGTGGGTAGACCAGGGCTTGCTCTGGCTGTGCTGAGGGCTGTGGGAACAAGTGGGCTGCCCTGACCCTTGGGCACAGCTTTCATAAAGGAATGCAAGGAGTGTACCAGCATGCAGTCAAGACTTGAGCAGGGTGTTGGGCCTGCCCCAGGATGCTGAGGCACTGCTGAGGGGCATGTGTGTGCGTATCCATGTGTATACCTAGCCTCAAAGATTCCAAGGACAGAGTGGCCACTTAAGGCTACAGCAATCAGGGGAGAGGGCCCATGAGGTCTAACATTACCTTTGAAGGACAAGGAGAGTGGCAGAAGAGAATGCCATTTCACACAGGGGACAGTGAAAGAGGTGGTAGCTGAGGGACAGGGATTTAGCTCAGTGGTTCCACTGCTTGCCTCGAAAGCACAAGGTCCCAAGTTCGATCCCCGGTACCAAAAAAAAAAAAGAGAGAGAGAGATAGTGACTGAGGTTGTGGCTACTACAGCCCAAGGAACGCTTTATGACCAAGGCCCAAGAAAAACCAGGGATGAAAACAAGTAAGACAGGGACAAGTCAGAGGTCTGAGAGCCAGGCAGTGTTTCTAGGTAATTTTGAAGGAAAAGGTGAGCCATTGACTATTCTAGAGTGAGAGTGACCCAAGGAAAGTGCTTTTCTGAGAAGGGAAGTGTGACTCTGTTTATGTGACAGAAAGAAGCAATAGGAAAAGAGACGCTTCAAGGAGGGGCTGACCCCTGTCCTGGATACTCACTGTGATAGCCTTATTTCGCTCCTGATTTCTGAACAAGAAGATATCCACGTCTCCAGACACATGGAAAGGATTAGCTGGACCTTCTGGACTGCTCACTTGCCCTGGGAGGGGAACATTTTGTTGGGGAAAGGTGTAGCAGTTCTTCCAAGGCAGTGTGGTCTGTGCCCCTGGGCTCCCTGAGCCCTCCCAATCCAGCATGTGACACACAGAGTGAATGGAGAATGTTCTCTTGGATCCAGCTCTGCCCAAAGTCCACTCCTGGATCCTCCAGCTCCATAAATTTTACCTCTGTGGTTTGCCCCACTGTGAGCTGGGCTGCTATTCTGTGCATCTGCAAGAGAGCTCATGAACATGACCCTTGTGCCTCAAGCATCTGCCCTGTGTCTTTTCCTTTAAAGCCTCAGGAAACCATCTGTCAGGGAGGAGGGAAGCCAGAGCATACAATCTGTAAGTGGTGGAGGCAGGAGACCCAGGTCTGCTGAGTCTGAGCCGTGGGCCCCCAGGTGAACATGCGTTTGTCTTTCTAGGAGCCTGTGTGGGCCTCCTGGAGTAAGGCTGGGCTGGAAATCTGTCATTGTGCAGATGTGTTTTGCTCCTAATCTCCATGATTTTTTCCCCACACTGAGTTTGATTCAGAGAGAGAGAGAGAGAGGGATGGAGGAAGGGAAGAAGTGAGAGAGACAATGAGAGAGAGAGAGAGAGAGAGAGAGATCGATCCTAGAATAGATGCCCAAGGGAAGCAGAGAGGTCAGAGGAGGGCCTGCTTCCTCCATCAGGCCCAGCCCTACTCCCAGTAACGTTATGAATATATCTAAAACTGTAGGACAGCTCTGGAAAACAAGAGGGATACTGCTGAGATAGCAGAGGTTGTTAGGGAGCTTTGGGAGACCATGTCAGCACCAGAAAGCATACAGACAAATACAGAATGGGTACATCCCATGGGAGAATTGACACCATGGCTCAACAAATCAAAGGCACAGAGAGTTAAAGGATGAGGGAGGGGCTCTGTTAAATTAAAAGAGACCAAAGTGGTTCAGTTCTCAGCAGAATCCTGCTTAGAACAAACTTTCTACAGGAAGACATTTCTAAGGCTTTGTCAAGTTTTGATGATGGGACTGTGGGCTTGTAAGGAAACATCCCTGCTGGTGACAAGTGCACACTGTAGTATTTATGAAGGAAATGAAATGACATTTGAAGTAAAATGGATTTTATTTTAAAATATCCTAGCAAAGACAAAAAAGAAAAAGAAGAAAAGGATAAATTAAGCAGAAGCAGCAAAATCAAGTCAACTTCACAATCTGAGTGTGGTCCCCTATCTCTTGTGGTTTCACTCCTGGGTATGTTCGAATTTTCATAATTAAAAAGGAAAGAGGAAACAGGGTGGAGTGTGTGGTGGGAGACTCTAGGAAATGCTCACATCACAGACCTCAGTGGAAGGATCAGTCCAGCCTGTGAGCCCAGGGATGGGGCAGGAAGCAGGAAGAAGTCCAGGCAAGCCAAGGTATGGAGCAAATGGCAAGAAGCAAGTTCCCTGTGCAGAGGCTAAGGGGATGAAGCAGTCGAAGCTAGCTGCCTTTCCTTCTCCCTCCAAACAGGTGATAACAATGTGCCCAATTTTAAGTCTTCTTTTTAGATACTGATGGTCACATGACAAATTTTGGCCAGTGGATTGTGGGCAGAAATTGCTGTGTGGGCATTCCAGAAAGAATCCTTTCCCTGGGAGGGCTGAGTTGTCAGGTGAGCAGTTTTTCCTCCCCTTTCTGCCTTCCTGGAGTCAAATATGATCAGGCTGGGGTTACTGCAGACATTTTGTGACCACGAGGCAACGTTGTAGTTGAAAGCCCTAAGCCCTTTCCAGAGATTCAGAAAGACTTGGAAGTGACATTTGTGGAAACTTGTGAAGTTTGGGACTATCGTATTTCCCATTACTGGAGGAAAAAATAAATCCTACTTTGTTTATGTTCTGTAGCTCCATTCTCAACAGAAACAGAAGTGTTTCCCTCTTCCCTTAGCACTAGAGACTAAGTCTGAGGACATCTGCAGCCAAGAGAGGGGATTACTTCCTACCAACTCAGACTAACCATCCAGCTCAAGTGTTACCTTTGCCTGTTTTTGCACCTTTCTCCAATTTTTCAGTGACTGAAGAAGAACCGTTCTTGGATTCCAGACTCTTCCCTGGGGAGACACAAAAGTGAAAGCTATGGCAGTGACGCATCTGGCCAGGAGAGCTGTGAACATAGTGCGAGGCAAGGGGGAGATCCTGAGTGCCAGCATCAGTTCCTCACAACTTGTGGAGCAGCTTGACAAGTCACTTGGCCTCTTGGAGCCATGGTTTCTACATATGAGATGACCGAATGACTTTGCTGGGAAATTGTGAGAATTGTGCAAGAGAAAGGCCATCCAAGGTCCCACTAGCAAGGTCGGGCACACAGTGGATATTTTGTGCCCCATCCCCTTTCACATCATTCCTTAAGGTCAGTGCAAGACATTTTAGAGATGTGCACACAGGGGCTCAAGCGGATTAAAGACCCCAGACCTCAGACTTTGGCCTGGCCAGCACTGCTGCCTCCCAGGGCTCCCCTCAAGCCTTTGAACAGAGGATTCAAAAACCAGTGTCCTTCTCAGGGGGCACCCATCCCATCCCACCAGGAGGAGAGGCCCTGCCAGTCTCAGCCTTCTTTACAGGTCTAGGAAGTCAGATGTGGTTCCAAGAAGCCAGGAACCTCCTCCCCAGAGGCTGGAAATTCTCTCAGCTTGGGTAAGATCCCCAGCACATCCTTTCTTTAGGTGACATGTCCTGCTAGGCCCCACTGCCTTGTTCTTGTCAACTGATACCCATAGGGAAGGAGGCAGGTAGCCCAATATTTCCTGCATGACAGCCCAGGCATCACCTGGAGCTTAGAGATCCAAGTCCCTGCCTCAGGACTGGGGATGAAGGAGCCACAATGTGCTGTGGTGGGTAGGTCCTGGGAATAGGTTGGGGAAAGAGTATGGTCACCAACGGATCCAAGATGATGACAGGGAAAGCAGGACCCTGTCAGGGAGGTATGGGGGAATACCAAGGCCCAACCCTGAATAGAAGGGTGAAAGGCGAAGATGGAGGAAGATGGAGGGAAACCCAGGGAGGCGGGCAAGAAGGTTGGGCCTGGAGCTGAAACTCAAATGCCATCAACACTGCAGAATATACACTGTCAAATGGGAGGAAAGGAGGCAGCAGGGAGTGGGGAGCCCTGTGGAAAACTCTGGAGTTCAGACTCCTGAATCATTCCTGTTTCCTAACATTCTTTCCTAGTGGGCATATGGTTAAATTTCTTGCTAGTAAAACTTAATTAACTTTGTCATAAAAATCAGAAGGTATCAAATATCCAAAACAAATAAAGTCAAATAAATAGACTCACACCAAAAACACAAGTCAAACCCTATTTAAAAATTTGGTTCTTAATTGAAAAAGAAATGCAACTAGGTGTGATGGTGCACACCTGTAGTCCCAACATTCTAGGAGGCTGATGCAGGAGGAATGCAAGTTCAAGCCCAACCTGGGGAACTTAGTGACTTAGCAAGATCCTGTCTCAGTATGAAAAATTTTAAAAGGGCTGGACACACAGCTTAGTGCAAAGGTCTTAGGTTCATCCCCAGTGCCACAAAGAAAAGAAATAGACCTGTATAGCAAAAAATTTCAGATTTTTGATGTATTGACGTATTGATCAATGGGTTCAGCTCAGGTTTGACCTACTGATCCAATGGATGTTGTTGACATGATGCGGTGGTGAGATGAAAACTCCTCACCAGAAGCCCACTAACCTAACAAAGTTATGGATCTCTAATTAGAAGTGTTGTGTGCATACACATGCTTAAGTGCTTCTTACTTTTTCACTAAAAAATACATCTGCTAACAAGTTGTAACAAAGATGTTCTTAAGAACATTATGCTAAGTAAAATAAGCCAGTTGTCAAAGGACAAATAATGCATGAATCCATGCCTGTGAGCTTCCTAGAGCAGTCACCTTCTTCAGGACAGGAACTGGCTAGTGGTGCCAATGTGGAGCTGAAGTTCTCTGAAGAAGCTGCATCTGAGTTAGAGATCCTGCAAACTGCTTGCTTTGGCTGAGTATGGCATAGTGATTATGGAGAGATGGACTATTGTAGGTCAATAGTCAAAATTCTCTTGGCCTGTCTCAGCTCTTAAGATAGTAAGTAACCATCTTATTTGTTATTTATTTAGTGCTACTAGAGAGCAAACCTAAGGCCTTTGCACTGAGCTACATCCCAAGCCTTTTTTATTTTTAATTTTGAGGCAAGGACTTACTAATCCACTAAGTGGCCTGAGTTGGACTCAAGCTTGCCATCCTCCTGCCCCAGCCACCTAAAATGCTGTGATTATAAGTTCACCACCACGCCTGGTTCACATTTGATTTTTGTAACATTCTTATGTCTATGAAAATGCCATAACATGAAACCTACAATAATGATTCCCTGACATTGCTGTAGCCTGCCTACCTGATGCTGCTATCTATGTGTTTGTTGATTGTATTGATTTGTGACTATCTTTGTTCTTTGGCTATAAAAATTCACCTAACCTCTTTTAGCACAGAATGTGCCCTTCAGGGTAATTTGAATCAATGCTCCCAGGACAGTCACTCATGCTGGACTCAGCATGAACTATCTCTTATTCCTTTAAAGCTGAGTTATTATTTTACTTTGACACCAGGGCTGGCAGGGAGTGGGGGTGGGTAAATGCTTAATGGGGTGGGGTAAATGCTTAATGAGGACAGAGATTCAGTTGTGAGATATAAAAGTTCTAGACATGCATGGTGGTGATGGCTGAAAAACAACGAGAATGTGCTTAAGGCCATTGAACTTTAAAATACTTTAAAATAGCTAAGATGGTCTATTTTATGTTATGTGTATTTTGTCATAATTTTTTTGCTTAAGTTCTTTCATTAATACATTTTAGGTATACAATACGTTTGCATTTATCATTGGGTGCTTGTACCTGTACATGATGTATCTTAGTTCTTATTTTTTCCCTATTCCCCATGCTCTCTTCACCCCCCCTTCCCTATTTACAAAGACTGTGTTACCATTTTTTTCTTTTCTCATAATTTTTCCTTTCC